TAAATTAAAAGGGAGCTTCAGAGTACAGCATGGGGACAGGTAACAAAGATGTTTATGATAAACATGATAGGTTGAGCCCCCATGTTCGGCTGCCTTATGAAATAGATGAATGTACTAAAGCAAATAGAACACGACTCTGGTGATCAGGATTCATGGGTTCTAGACCTGCCTCTGACACCAACTGGCTCTAAAGACTCTCAGGGCCTCAGTTTCCTCCTCTATAAAACAAGAAACCCGGATGAAAACTCTAAGGTTCCTCCCAGCTTTCACTCCGTAGGCAACGTTCAGCCCGTGGGTGCTCTGTGCATGGACTCAGTGAGTAGGAATCATTAGTAGGGGATCGAATCAGTATTAGAATGCCTTCCATGATTGTCCAGTCTCTGGAGATGAACAGGGCACTTGGCACAAAATAGGGGCCCCCTCAGTGCTTTTATAATAAATTCGTCTTCATGGCGATGTCTACTTAAAATTCTATTTCTGAGAACTGTTCATTGGTCCAGCACAATGGCTGTGAGTGGACATGGGAAGGGCACCAGAGGGAAAGTCCCAGGGCCCTGCTGTGTGAGCCTGGGCAAGTCCCTGTCTCCCCTTGGGTCTTTCCCCCTTCATTTATCAAATAAAGGGGTTGGAGAAGGATCGCTAAGGTGGCTTCTAACACTGTAAGAATTGGCTGCTACAGAAAGCAAATGAGAAGATTCAGATGTTCCCCCAACATCCAGTACCCAGGGCAGTTGGAGTATATTTGCTGTGATTCAAGGCTTTCTGTGAAGCAGACGCGGATTTGCTATGGGGATGGGCTGGGAAGGACACAACGGAAAGGAGATCTGTGTGCTCAGGGTTGGCTGGAAATTCTATGCAAAGAAGGAAATGAGGTCTGCTGTAATTGCCTGTTTCTGAGCTGCAGAATGTATCAAATACTGTGTTTAAAACGTTGCGATGCCTAGTTGTTAGCACAGCGAACCACGGGTTTTTACTGTCTCTATACATGCCAGTGGCGGTGATGTTTGAGAACTTTCCTTTCAGGCAGTGCCATCAAAGAGGGGCAGTGGAAGGCGACCCAGAAAAGTCAGGACAAAGCGTATTTGAAGGGAAGGAGGAAGAAGCCCATATACATTTCAATGCAAGTACTTTTAAGGCATTTCAAGGAGGGGTCTGAGAAATAATTACAAAGTTTAAAAAGAGAGAATCTTAACTTTGATCTGATTTTCTTCAGTAAAGCAATTAGGTTCATCATTTTTTAAGTGCTAAGCTGAAAATTCTAATGGCTGGACCCCAACACTTTCATTTCTGTCTCTTGGGACTTCTGTAATTCCAAAAAAAAAAAAAAAAGAAGTTAAAAAATTTATGAAGGTGATGTTGCAGAGGGATTGATGCATAAAGCATTTGCTGGTTAGCTCTCATAAAGACGACAGCATCACAGAGTAGTTAAGATTAAGAGCTAGATTGAGGGACACCTGGGTGGCTCAGTTGGTTGAGTGTCTGACTTCTGCTCAGGTCATGATCTCACGGTTCGTGGGTTCAAGCCCCGCGTCGAGCTCTTTGCTGACAGCTCGGAGCCTGGAGCCTTTTTCGGATTCTGTGTCTCCCTCTCTCTCCACCCCTCCCCCACTCACACTCTATCTGTATCTCTCAAAAATAAGTAAACATTAAAAAAATTAAAAACCAAAGAGCTAGCTTGAAATTATGCATCTGATTAATAGCACAGAATTAAGAAACCTGTAAAATTGATTCGATGGAGGGAAGACAACTCATCAAAGTGTGATCAGAATTTTCCCTTCCAATTGCTGTACGGGATTCTAAGGGGAATATATCCTACCTGAATTTTAGCATTTGCAGGAGTAGCTCTCAAATTAAAACAGAGCTTCAAAGCAAAGCCAAAGGACAAACTAACTTATTTGAAGAAAAGCAAAGAGAACCTTACTGTAAAGATAAGTGATAGATTGAATCCCAAAGTTAGGTTACATTTCTCCTAAATTTTTTGCACATGAGATTCTTCATACTTCTTATACTAAGTGCTAGACTCTCAGTTCCTTTTTTTTTTTTTTAAGTTTTTAATTTATTCTGAGAGAGAAAGAGACAGAGTGGGTAGGGGAGGGGCCGAATCCCAAACTGTCAGCATGGGGCTCGAACTCACAGACTGAGATCATGACCTGAGCTGAGATCAAGAGTCAGACGCTTAAACAACCAAGCCACCCAGGTGCCCCGAGACTGTTAGTTACTTGATGGAAGAGAAGAGATATTCTTTTTTGTGCCTGGCACATGGTTTTTAGCATGATAGTAGATTTTCATTACATGTTTATGAAGTAGCAGAATCAAAATAATAAAAAAAATTTTTAATTTATTTATTTATTTATTTATTTATTTTAAATGTTTTATTTATTTATTTCTAGGAGAGAGAGAGACAGCATGAGCAGGGGAGGGTCAGAGAGAGAGGGAGTGACAGACTCTGAAACAGGCTCCAGGCTCTGAGCTGGCAGTCAGCACAGAGCCCGACGTGGGGCTCGAACCCACGAACCGCGAGATCATGACCTGAGCGAAAGTCGGACGCTTAACCGACTAAGCCACCCGGGCACCCCTAAATTTATTTTTGAGAGAGAGAGAGTGAGAGAGAGGGGACAGGGATAGAGGATCCGAAGCAGGCTCTGCGCTGACAGCAGCCAGCCGATGTGGGGCTCGAACTCATGAACTGTGAGATCATGGCCTGAGCCAAAGTTGGCCGCTCAACCGACTGAGCCACCCTAGTGCCCTCAAATACTTTGTTAATTAAGCAAAAAATGTCATGCCATATCTTCCCCCCAATTACTAGATCAATTAACCAGTGTTTATCTAAACTTTAAAAATCGGAAAACTTGAACTTCAGAACAATATGGATTTCTGGATTCTTTTGAAAGTTCTGAGGGTGTGGCACTATTTGGTCCACAGCCCTACATGGTGACAATGAGCTGGAGCCCGGGAGCAGGTGCCCCCATTAGGCAGGACTCCTTCCTGTTGCAACTTATCATATGACTCTAGGTTGATTTCGCTTTCTTACTTACCAGCCTGGTTCATGGGAGAGACACTCAGATAAGGGGATGATATTTGGTATGTGTTACGTTTTTTCCCCTGTTTTAAAAAGTTTATTGATTTATTTTGAGAGAGAGAAGGAGAGAGAGCATGCACGCAAGCTGGGGAGGGGCAGAGAGAAAGAAAGAGAGAGAGAATCCCAAGCAGGCTCTGCGTTGTCAGCACAGAGCCCCATGCAGGGCTCGAACTCACAAAACCTCAAGATCATGACCTGAGCTGAAACCAAGAGTCAGACGCTTACCCCACTGAGCCACCCGGGTGCCCCTGGTATGTGTTCTGTTGTCAGATGTGAATGAGTTAAATATCTAACTGTGAGCTTAATGGTTTCCTCCAGCCCGACACTGGAGACTGTCACGTACTGTGCTTGGAGGGATTTTGTAATCTGCACATTCCTATGACTTCAATATGCCCCTGTGGGAATAGAGCAGAATTAGAACTCTAAATAACCCTAATGATATTGGGTAGGAGCCCATCAGGGAGTTGTTCAAGTTTGTCAGAGCATATTAAAATACAATACATTCACATCATCCAAAAGGATACATCAGTCCACCTGCCTATATGTTCCCTTCTGATATTACATTTGCCCAGGGACCTTTCGAAATTACCCCACCTACCTCTGCTCCCTCCCTTAGTGAATAGACATGTGGAAAAAGTGGAGAGCAAATCAGAATAATGTGCATTGGTGAAAAGTCCTATAATTGAAATCATTATTGCTTAAGACACCATTGCTTTAATCAGCCCTGTCATAAATCAATGCTTCTCACAAGTGAAGGCTTGAAATAAAGTGCTCTTAAACAGATTGGGTATCTTAAAAGGCATGATGCCATTGGGAAGCCCCTGAAAATGGATAAAAAAGTGGTTTCTGAATAGATGTACGGGTTCTAGAATTTTATCTTCCACTTAATTTTAAAAAATATTACCTAGTCCTTTCTTAGAAATTACATATTGGAGGCCTGTAATGGCCAGGCCTTTAACCCATTAAAAAAATTTACTCCCAGGAACAGTTAATATTTGACGTTTAATTGCTTTTCCTTGTTGGGAGAGGAAGATCTGTTTCTTCCCTTCCTTTCTTGATTGACTTTTCAAAAATCACCTTGTGAGCTATAAAAACGGAGAGGAGTAATTGATTTTCAAAAACTCAGGCTCACGCACATGTATTTGCATATGTGTCAGTGTGTGTGTGTGTGTGTGTGTGTACATAATGACCTCTGTGCACCAGGAATAGGGGCTTCCTCCACAATAACTGTGCAAGGCAGGTGTTCTATTTCCAGTTAACATGGAGGCAGCCGAGGCCCAGAGAGGTTCACTACTTGCGTAGCATCACACGGGTAGTGAGTGGTAGGAGCCTGAGTCCTCATTACACCAACCCTGTGGCCTGCCTGTAGGGACGCTTCACACCCAGGTGCACAGGCACCTATGGAGCTAGGAAAAAAGGCCACACTTACGATCCCCATCATTGGAATCACTAGTCTTCTCAGCCTATTTAACGAACATCAGGTTCTAGAATTTAGCAAAGGATGCCACGCCATGTAGAAATGTCCAAAGAGCGCAACTACGATTTGCGCCTTCTATGTGAATCCTTCACGGGGAGAGTCAGGTGAAGGCGCCTTGTCAGCGATAGCATCTTAGGAGAGATTTTTCCTTCCGGGAGAGTTTTATGGGGCCAAGCATGGAGGGGGGGTGGATGCCCTCTCTTTAGAAAAATGCCCACACAGACTTCAAATGAATTTTGGGGCTCCTTAGGACATGTTTCAAGAGCAAGAAGGGGTCATCAGGACATTGGTGTGGAAAGGGTGAGGAAGAGCCTCTTTCTGGTTGCCTTGAGTTTGAAGATTTCCATTTCAACCTTGTCAGACCCTTACCTTTCACGTGTGGTAAATTCACGACCAAAGGCCCAAGTGTTCTCTTTCTTTCCTTTTCTCTTCCCACAAAACCAGGTAATATCAAGGCCTTTCGCAAAGCTGCACGGACCAACTGCTCCTCCTCAGATTATGGCTTTCAGAGCTCAGGCGCTACCCCTCATCAGGTTACACTTTCCATGTTTTGTGGTCAGGGGCAGGCTGTGTCATTCTACGTGGCTCCACCTTGCAAGGAAATATTTATATATTGGCCTTGCCAGGTTCCTGTTTCCTCTGGGATTGCTCCTGAGTTTGCGGTCTTCATCCCGGGGCGGGCAGTGACTCACTGGCCTTCACAGGACCACTGGACACCAGGCAGAAAACAGGAAGCTGACTTGGCTTGGCCGGAAAACTGTGAGGTGTGTACCTGTTGGATGAGACGTTTCTTTCTTTCTTTCTTCCTTTCTTCCTTTCTTCTTTCTTTCTTTCCTTCTTTCTTTCTCTCTCTCTCTCTCTCTTTCTTTCTTATATTTTAAATGTTTTATTTATTTCTGAGAGAGAGAGAGAGCAGGGGAGGGTCAAAGAGAGGGAGACACAGAATCTGAAACAGGCTCCAGGCTCTGAGCTGTCAGCACAGAGCCCGATGCGGGGCTCGAACCCAGGAACCGTGAGATCATGACCTGAGCCGAAGTTGGACGCTTAACCGACTGAGCCACCCAGGCGCCCTGGACGAGGCATTTCTGAGAGGTCGAGCACAGTACTTTGAGAAAGGGCTTGGAAGGAAACCGACAGACGCCGAGGGAATGAAAATTCATACCATTCGCAGCATTTTCCCCCCTAGATCTAGAAATACAAAAGTTTACTTGTACACGGTCTTTCTGTTAGTTTTTGGATTTCCCCCCTTTTTATTCCTGATAAATGGTAATTGCCACTGTTTACAGAGCAGTGGTCAAAAGCAAGTCCTACACAGCTGTGGAATATTGTCAAAACCCCTTTCGGAAACTCATTTGGCAGTGTGTGTGAGGACCTTAAAAATTTTTGTAACCCCTGAGCAAATAATTTTACTCCTGGGAATCCATCTCAGTACCACCACCACCAGCACCACCACCACCAAGTGCTCAAAGATGTTATTAATTTTTAATTTTTTAATTAATTTTAATTTTTAAATATGCATTTATTTAAGTAATTTCTATACCCAGCATGAGGCTCGAACTCACGACTCCAAGATCAAGAGTCGCATGCTTCGTTCACCAAACTTAGCGAACCAGGCGCTCCTCAAAGATGTTCTTTAAACTATTGTTTATGGTACTTAGAACCTTAATGTAAAGCTAGCAATATGGGGAATGGAACTATAAAATGTTTTCTTGATGTTGATATGCAAATGACATCTTAACATTGGAATAGGATGTGAACTCGTGTACTCCTTTAAAAATTTTTTTTAATGTTTTATTTATTTCTGAGAGAGAAAGAGAGAGAGGCAGCCTGAGCAGGTGAGGGTCAGAGAGAGAGAGACACACACAGAATTGGAAGCAGGCTCCAGGCTCTGAGGTAGTGTCAGCACAGAGCCCCACACGGGGCTCGAACCTACGAACCATGAGATCATGACCTGAGCCGAAGTTGAAAGCTTAGCCGACTGAGCCACCCAGGCGCCCCTGTACTTGTGTACTCCTGATGATGACAGATATGTGAGCAAAATAAACTTAGTCGTCATAATGGATAACCTTTATGGTCTCCTTAGTACATGGCAGGCAACGTGTAATCATGGGGGCGTACTCGCCAGATTAAGCCACATTTTATTTTTTGTCCATTTTACAGATGAAGAAAGAGGAAGGTTCATTGGATTATCTGGGGTCGGACTGATGATGTGAGAACTGAACCCCATCCTGATTTCACAGAGTTTACACTCTTACCTTATAGTTCTTTATGATATATGAATACTTTTATTTTATTTTTTAATGTTTTTTTATTTGGAAAAAAAGAGAGAAAGAGGAGGAGAGAGGGAGTGTGCATGTATGTGCATGTGGCTAAGAAGCATAGAGAGAAGGTGGGGAGAGAATCCCAAGCGGGTCCTTGCTCTCAGCGCAGAGCTTGACATTCGAACCATGAGATCATGACCTGAGCTGAAATCAGAAGTCGGACGCTTAACCAACTGAGCCACTCAGGCATCCTTATTATGTGGATAATTTTAAGTAAAAATCAAATATTAGCCACAAAAAAGAAAAAAAAAACCCAAACAAACCCTACAAAGAAGCCTTAAAACTCCAAACCCCAAACAAGTCGGCATTGATGAACACAAATCTGCCAAACTTTACTCTTCTGGGAATCACATGGAAAAGTAAATGGCAAAGCTTAGACCACGAGAAACAGCCAAAGTTGAAAAAGCTTACCGCGACTAGCCAATAAAATGCCTGGTAGGTGTCTGAAGCCACAATTACTGTTTAAGGTCTTTTCTCTGGATGGGAATTAAATACGCTCCGTATGATGTTATAGTAAGAGAATCCAATTAATATTATTCTGCCAATTTAAGGAAGTAAATTTTACAAGGAAGCAAATCTTGCATTTAGGTGGAAAGGACTTTGTCCAGAGTGACTGGAGAATTCTCTTGAGGACCAAGCCCTAGACCGATGGTTCTTAACCTATGTTGTGTGAGAATGCGTTTGACAATATTAATGGCAACTACGGTGTCTGATTCCAGGAAAAAACACATATATTTACATCTGTGCTACATTTTGTTATGTATCTATTTACTTTTGAAATCTTTTAGGGTCATTGCTGTTTTGAGGGTTTACATTAAAATGTCCTTTTCTGTTTTGGCTTCCAGAATATTTTTTGTCCCTCGATGCTGGGGCTGTTGTTTCATTGGTGGTTCTGCCACTGCTACGGTTTCTTCAGAGCCTTGTCTACACCAGCAACACCCAAGGTTTGTGAAGTAAGTGAGTCTAATGAATAATTTAGTTGCACTATTTTCTTTAGTGCGATGGCATGTTATTGTGAATGCTTGGATTTGGACGCAAGGCTAACAACCGCCTTTTGGGGTTTTCATGGTAGGCTGGAAAAAAAATGCACGACACACATCACCAAGAATCCATGCCTGTGCCTGGCAGTGTAACTGAGAAAAGCTTTGGAATGTGAGTGGATGGCATTTTGAATAGCGTTCCTTAGCACACCTGCAGAAACGCACTTCCATTAAACACATATGTGCCGAGCGCGTGTGCGTAAGGCACTGTGTTAGACAGATGTGAAAAATGGCCGAATGATGCCTTTGTATAAGATTCTCCCAGGACCCTGATGTGCTGAGGTTTAGAAACGCTCGTGCAGCCTCCGGGCGCGTTGGCTGTGGCGCTAATAAGATTACAGCCCGGGCCTGATTTCAGCTCGTGAAATATTTTCATCATCAGGATGAGGAAAATTATTTTTCACCGTTTCTGTTGTTCTGAAATGGAAACATTTTCAGGTATGAATCCACCTCTTGTTGGGGACTGTGCAACATGGAGTCACAAACGCCATGGTGAGAAGTCATTGGTCTGTCTTCTCCAGGAACTTCCCCTGGACAGTGGTCTCTGCCTATGTTAGGGGAGATGGCAAAAATTCGAGCCATCATGCATCTGGCCAATTATGCAACGCTCCATCACAAGGGGAAATTCCTTCCTCACCCCAGCTGGTGAACAGTTATGCCCTGGGGCCCAGGACGGACATGCCTTGTAACTTTTTAACCTAGTTAGTGTAACTGCCAATATTATTCCTATTCATATAAATGCCTAATCCTTTCTTGAATCTTGCTAGAGTATTTGCCTCAATAATATCCTGTGGCGGTGAATTCCACAGGTAGATTATACGCTGTTTTAAAATGTATTTCCTTTTTTTCATTTTAAATTTGTTACCTTTTAACGTCACAGGCTGGCCCTTGTTCTTGCATTAAGGGGCCCGGGGTGCAGGCATTTCCAGTTCTGCTTTAATTTTTCCAAGCACTTGGCCATTGTTAAAACTGCCTTTTCACATTTCTTCTATTTTTGCATAGCTGATCTTGATTAAATGAGATGGTTGATGTAAATAGTCTCATACGACTCTGGCACATAGTAGGCACTGGCAAAAAGCTCTCCTTGGTTTTCATTGCCACTTATTGGACAGCTGTTTATTGAGTGCCTACTGTGTGCAGGAATCGTGGTAACTATTGGAGAGATAGCTTTGAATGAGACAATGGCCTTGTTCTGAAGGACCTAATTTTCTAGAGGACACAAGCAGCAATATAGTGAATAAAGATGGTTTCCGGGAGTCTTAAGTACTATGGGAAAATCAGACGAGAGGGACTGGCTGAGGACAGTAGGGGCCACTTGAAACTGCACAGTCAAGAGTAGCTCTCTGAAAAGGGGACAGTTGAGTTGGCCATTGAGGACTCATCTGTGTGAAATCCCCATGAGGGTGAACTCATGCTCCTAGACAATGCCTGGTGTGCCATAAGACTCCATCACGATTTGTTGGGGGAATGAGTGAATGGCGGTTGAGGAGGGAAATCTCAGTCACAGAAATTATCCAGTGAGTTCCTCAGAGACCCAGGAGTAATACTTCTTGAATCCCCACATTCTGTAACTCCAAAGGCTGTTGGAGTAGAAACAAACCAGGGAATGTGGTTAGTTAGACTAACTAGCACTTTCCCATGTCCCCAGCTTCCTCCCTTGTATGACCTTGGGGATGTCATCTAGTCTCTCCTCCCCCCCAAGTGCTCTCATTCATAGAGATGGGGATAACATGCTCTTGCTTCATGGGGTCTGGAGCACTGGAGACAAAATTATGTAGTGGCTTGTCCTTTATAAACTACCAAGTGGTGTAGACATGTTGCTTGCTCTGAAGGGAACCGATTATTCTTAACCCTGCACACCCTTTCTTCCCTCTTTCCTATCTCCTTCCTTTTTCTCTGTCCCCTGTGCTTATCCCTGCCTCTGTTTAAAGCTCATCAGTGGCATCCGTGGTACTTAGCTTTTTGTTAAGTGAAGGTGGCATGGGCATTTGGAGGGTAGTGGTTACTTTTCTGAAATATATATATATATATATATATATATATATAAAGTGTATTTCTTTATTTGGAGCACGAGATGGAGAGGGGCAGAGAGAGGGAGAGAATCCCAAGCAGATTCTGCGCTGTTGGTGCTGAGCCCGACGTGGGTCTTGATGTCACAAACGGGAGATCGTGACCTGTGCTGAAGTCAAGAGTTGTCACCTAACTGACTGAGCCGCCCAGGCGCCCCTGAAATGTTGTATCTCTCAAGGACTTTAAACATGGGATGGGATGGAGCTGTTGCCAGCAGAAACGGTGGACCCGAGGTGCATTTCCAATAGCGATCGCTTGCTTTTATTTTGTTTACTGCTTGGTCCTGCCCGGTCAGGTTAACCAAACTTCTGTAAAGACAGAGGCTTTACCTGAATTTTTGAGGGACTCGTCCCCGCCTCCCCTCGATACCCCCAAAATGGGGACTTGGGTTAAAAAGATCTGATTACCTGCTTGTAGCTTCCTTCCGTGTTCCAGCCTATGCTAGGCAGTAGCATCGCCTTATGCTTCCTCTTGTTTTTCTTTCTAATTGACCCTTAATTTACTTTTTTTTTTTTTCCATTTAGGCAATTCGAAGGAGAGGCCTGTGCAGCTTGCATGATAATGTATTAGAAAGGCATTTTCAAGGAATAAATTATTAGCATTGTTTATATGCGTGGTTCAAATTTACTGGCAAATGGCTCAGGCCTCGGTTTTACGAGGTAGCTGTCTGCCAGGCTCCTTCTGGGCAAAACCCTGAAATAGAAGTTCCCTTTTGGTTTCCCTCATCCACACGTCCTTTGCCTCCTTCCTCTCCTTTCAACACTTCCTAACGTTCCCGCCCCTCCAGAACTCTGTGGACACACTGGGCCTTTTACACCTTAAGGTGAAGACATTTTACGGGGTCGCCCCCAGCTCCAGACCGGCCCCCCACGAAAGTGAGGTGTGCAAAGGAATAAATCTTCAATGGTATAATTTTAGACCGTGTGGCAACTGGGAAGGGCGGCTATTTTGGGCTGTGGGGCTTTCTCCTTGACCTGAGATGGTATCACTTTGCCTGCCGCTGGCGCGCTCGGCCGGGCCTGCACGTGGTCCTCTGAGCAACGTGCCTGCCATTCCTGGGGGTGCTGCTTCATTCCTCGGCTGGGCGGGCCCGTGCTCCGCCCGAGTCCTGTGCATCCGGGCAAGGGCGCGCGCCTGTCCACGTGCGCCCACCCAGGTGGCGTGTCCGGGTAGTGGCCCAGGCTACCCCTGCGCGCAGCATAGATGGGAGACACTCCCTTCCACTTAGGGAGCGGGGACGTGTCCTGGTCCAGGGTTTGCCCAGCGGTCACCGTTCTGCGCGTCATCCCCTCTCCGAGCACGGTGGCCGGGCAGTCTCCAGACCACAGGATCTGTGCGCCCTTCCTGGGAGGCCTCACTCGGAGCCGCACTTGGGGCGTCCTCACAGCGACCCTGACCACCCCACTGGCTATCTTCTCGCTCAAGCTCCTGATGGGCGGCAGCCTGCAGACCCCTGTCCCCCTGGGGAAGCGAGTCAGGCCCCCTGCAGCGGGTGGGCGGGACAGAGACAAGAAGAGCCGAGTGTGCCCCAAACAGCAGTGCTTTCCGGAAGACGCAGAGTCTAGACAACATCATCACTGGGGAGAATATCCTGCTCATCGTTGTTATTGTTTATTGTCGTTTTTGTTTTGTTTTTTTGAAAGACCGAGAGAGAGAGAGAGAGAGAGAGAGAGAGAGAGAGAGGGAGAGGGAGCGCGAGTGGGGGGAGGGGTAGAAAAAGAGAGAGAGGTAGGATCCTAAACAGGGATCCAAGCTGAGCTCGGAGCCCCACTCAGGGTTGGAGCTCATGACCGTGAGATCATGACCTGAGCTGAAATCAGGAGTCAGAAGCCCCGGGGGCACCTGAGGGTGGCTCGGTGTGTTAGGCATCTGATTCTTGATTTCAGCTCGGGTCATGATCTCACAGTTTGTGAGTTCGAACCCCGCGTCAGTCTCTGTACTGATAGCCCAGTGCCTACTTGGGATTCTGCCTGCCTCTCTCTCTGCCTCTCCCCTGCTTGCTCTCTATATCTCTATCAAAATAAATAAACTAAACAAAAAACAAACAAGAAAAAGAGCCAGAAACTCAATTGACCAAGCCACCCAGGCACCCTTTGTTCATAGTTTTTACAACCTAAAAAGTACGCATGAGGCCCAGAGATCATTCAGGAAGGAGGAATAGCATCAGGAAAGAACAACAAAAATGGAAATGGTTATTTGTTTTAAAGGATCTGAGCTTATTTATGCCAAAAAAGGGAAAACAGACGCCTTCTATAGGTAAGAAGAGAAGAGAATGTAGCTCTCTCTTCTATAAGTCCCCTGGTCATTTAAAAAAAAAGGGAGAATTCTGGATTTGAAGAGAGAGAGAGAGACAGAGAGAGAAGGAAAACAGGCTGAGGAAGAGACTGGGATATTAGAAGAACCCGGCTAAGGAACAGAAAAGAGTGGAGGGTAGACAGAGAGAATAAGATTAAGAGATAATATTGCCTTCCCTTATCTGCTGTTAAATTAAATTTAGCAGATACTCTGAGAACAGACTGTGTCTCTTCCAGCCTTAAGATTGATCCACTTAAAAAAGGCAACACACATTTTACTATTATCTGTCATGGCACAAGGTGTGGACTGGGCTCCGCTGGTTGGCCTCCTGTGTGCAAACTTTCACAAGGCTGAGGTCTGCTGGTGGCCTAGGCTGGGGTCACCCGTAAGGCAAGGCTTCCCCATTGGCACATGAGAACTGAAGATGGCCCTTGCCGCGGCCTTAGCCCGGGCCACCAGCAGAAGTGCCTGCTTGCTTCTCGCTGCATCTCACCCCTGTGCTCGTGTCCTGGCCTCTCAAGGCTCCCAAAGTGGGTAACCCAAGGGAGCAAGGTAGAAGCTGAACCACCTTTTCCGGCCTGGCCCAGGCACATTCTCTGTGGGTCCATGAGTCAGGAAGTTCAGCTCAGATTCAAGGAGAAGGTGCATAGACTTCCTATGGACTTGTGAGTGTACAAGAAATTGTGGCTGGGTCTTAAAACCACTAAAATGTTCCATCATGATGTCCTCTGTTCTCAAACTTTAAACTGTCTTGTCTAGCTGGAGCTAGAAAAGTCAAGTCAGTAATCCTTGCAAAGGAATGAAATACCCATTCTCAAGAAGGGTGACTCGATAGAGGAATATGAGCCAAGTGGGGTGCAGTCAAGTTTTGCATGCAGAGAGGCCTGAGGCATTGGGTAGGTAGGAAGGTCCGTGGCCTCTTACCTTTTGGAGGGCTTTGCAGGCCAATCAGATGGCAGTGGCTAACATTCCTTATCTCTGGAAGGGGTGTTCTGGCTAGCCTTATTCAAGCCCGAATGTGTGCTCTTAATAACTTATCTTGTTACCTGTTTTCTCTTCTCCTGCCTCACCTTTATTCCAACCAACCATCCTTTCTTTCAACTACATTATTCTTCTGTGGTCCAAAAGCTCTCTCCATCACTTTATCTTCCTGGTCATCAATTTATACTTTCTGTGCATGGAAAAGACTTTTTACCACCCATTCCTCTTCCTCACTTTTCACTTCTCTGCTGCCATTTGTCAGACCAGTGGCTCTCCCTGACATTCTCTGTTTCACTCGCCTGACCGCTTGAAAATCTGTATTGTTTGTTGAGGGCCCCCTCCTTAGGGCTGTTGTCTGTTGCCTTCTAACACCATGTCCTATATTCCATGTAGCTCATGCCTTTCTTCTCTGCTCTGACTTGTCTTATCCCAGGTGCCCTTTATCTAGCACAGTGTCACAGGGCCATGGCCCCTGGTGTGCCCAAGCCCAGCATCTCCATCAGATATAGTTTTGACATCTTCACTGTGAGGCCTCGTCCACACCCACAGACTTTCAAGCAGGGTTTGCTGCTCAGCTGATGACCTTTGTCTGGTAAGTTTCCTATTTATTATCTAGGATGATAATCATATCATCTAGGTAAATATCTAGATAATATCAAAACTAAAGACACTTTTCCCCCTCATCTTAGTCTCTGGTCTTCAAATATTATTAATTGTAGACATTCGCTTCTTAATCCTCACGTAGACTGGGATCCCTTTCTCCTCTTAGTATAAGGGTGAGACATGCCTGCTGTGGGAAACTTAGAACACATGAAAAATCCTAAGGAAGAAAACAAACGCTGTAGACGTAAATATTGTTAAGACCTTGGTGTGGGTCCTTCTCATTTCTTCCCCTTTATACTTATCATTTTTATTTACAAAAAATAGAACTACTACTTAGATGGGAAGTGCCTTCCTTCAAGTGGTTTGCTGTTTTATAGACTCAATGGTTTTCTTAATGTTTATTTATTTCTTAAAAATTTTTAAAGTTTATTTATTTTGAACAGGGGACGGGCATTGAGAGAGAGAGAGAGAATCCCAAGCTGGCTTTGCCCTGTCAGTGCAGAACTCAGTGTGAGGTTGGAATCCATCAGCCATGAGATCATGACCTGAACTAAATCAAGAGCCAGACACTTAACTGACTGAGCCACCCAGGCACCCCTTAAATGTTTATTTATTTTTGAGAGAGAGAGAGAGAGAACGAGCACACAAACACGGGAGGAGCAGAGAGAGAGGGAGACACAGAAGCTGAAGCAGATTCCAGACTCTGAGCTGTTAGTATTAAGCCAGATGCAGAGCTTGAACCCCTGAATCCCAAGATCATGACCTGAGCTGAAGTTGGATGCTTAACCAACCAAGCCATCCAGGCGCCCCATGCATGATTCTCTTGAGAAAAGTGCCAGAAGTTGCATCTTCAGGCCACAAATTATGGACATTTAAAGAGTTCAGAAGTGGCACTGCTTTCACTGAATCGTCTAACTTATTTACATCCCAGTCTTTCCCATTTTTTTCTTCTCCACAGTTTCAGAGACAACGTGTCTCTTTCTGGGTCCAGGATTTGTCGTATGCTCTGCTTCCAACAAAATGAAAACAGTGTCATATCTGACATTTTATTTATTTGTTTACTTATTTATTTTTACATCTGACATTTAAATTGGGGCTCTTATGAGTAGATTTCACTCACTCACTCAGTTATGCACTCACATGCCAGGTGTAGATTAAGTTTGCAAATAGACTAGGCCTATAGGATCAGTTTATATTCTCAGAGCTGACTCCTGCTAACTATGGAGTGGGCTTTGGAGCTTTGAAGAAGAATTTTAGCCCATTCTAAGGAGGTCAGATAGTGACCAAGGCTGAATGATATCTAGGGAATCTTTGCTCTCTACAAATAGGAATGTTGGAAATAAGTACACCTTGAGCCTTTGATCTGCTGGGGATGATCTCCTACCTGTAGACCCTTCCTTGGCTTCCAGGCTCAGGAAATATCAATATGAAAGTCAACGAGATGTTTCTTTGAGCCGTACATGATGCTGAGCACTGGAAAGACAAAGAAAACCCAACAGGCTCCCTGTCTTCAAGGGGCATTGTCCGTTGGACAAGCAGATGTACAACAGTTCTAGGTCAAAGTTAAATTTGCCGGAATGGAGGAGGTTATGTGTAAGGAAATTCTTGAGCCAAGGTCTGCACAGTTAGCCTTATGGTGTCCAGAGGTGTTGGTTGATCCAAAGTTACAGCACTTAGAACAAATTTTAGTTGCCAACAGTTAACAACTGGAGATTTCTGTCTCACCTTGGGAAAAAAAAAATTAGTAGTATTGGCAATACTGAGCCCTCATTTTACCTTGGCAACAGTGAGGAGAGGCTTATCCCTTAGCTAGGGCATAGGTTCTTTTTTTTAGCACTGTCCTCACCACTTTTGCTGTCTGTATGAGCTATGGGCTTCTGACCACAAGCCTCGTTAAGGGGCCTTTATTCTTTCACAGACTATCAGAGAAGGCCCAGAGAGCTGTGCTAGATAGGAGAGCTGCAGGGTAAGCAGGGATTTGCTTACATGGAGGGTGGACCATCCATGAGGGGCAGAATAGCATGTGCAAAGGTACGGGGGCTTGAGCACAGAGGCCTGCATGGGCGATGATGGGCTGACGGGATGGAAGAGGAGTTGGATATTCGAAGGAAGGGACCGAGAGAAAAGAGTTGGGGAGGCATGCCAGGGTCAACTCTTGAGCACCCAGGCATGCCAAAATAAGGAGTTTAGATTTTTTTTTTTGGCTATAAAAACTGCATATGATGATTGGTCTTAGAATAGCTCGAAAGCGTTTCTACTAACAGTGCCATGACATCAACGGTGGCAACTTGCAGAGTATATTATGTGCAGATTGTCATTATACCTCCTGACGTTGAGCCCGGGAGACATGAGCTTTTATTACCTTCACCTTACAGGTGAGGAAGTGCAGATAGAAGGAGGTTGCTTAAGTGACTTCCCCAAGGTCACAACCAATCAGTGGCAAAGCGGGAAGTGGACCTCAGGCCTGACTACAAAGCTTACCTCTTGACTCCAAGATGGCGTCCCTGCTTCAGAACCACTACCCCCCAGTGAAGGCGGGCTTGCTTTGGGAGTGGGTAGGAGAGGCCGACAGAGCAGGGTGGCTCTTCGTGTCCACTGCAGTGGCAAGCAGGAGAGCGGAGGGCCACACAGGACAGCATCTGTGCAGTGCTGAGAAGAGGGTATGTGAGGGATACATGGGATACATTTCCATCTTCATGGAATCTGCCAGCACTGGAGTTTCCGCTTCCTCCTTTGAATTCTCAAAACAATCTCTGTCTCTTTCCCTGGGCTTGCTTTTGCTATGTCCTCATAACAGCTGTGCGCACCTTACGGCATCTTGTGTAGTTTAAGTTTGCAAGGGGCAGGAGGAGTTCTGCTTTCTTTGCCTTAATTTTATTTTCGCCTTGCTGAGCGCAGTGCTTTCGTAAATGAATGAGTTCCCAAATTATCCCTTTCAGATCATTTCTCCTTACGTAGGCATTTATTTGAGAAGTCCTGCGCAGGGTAAACACTTTTTTTCTTTTTTCAAATAGGAAAATCATTTCTTTACCCAATCTACTTGAAGCTCTTTGGAAACGTGAAGGAAAGTAAGACGGGGAAGTTGTTTAAAAGCAGCAAACCTTTTAAGAGCCAATGTCACATTTATTGCTGTAAAATATTTTTCTCTCTCTGTTAGACATCTGGTTCCCATTACATACAGTATTGGGTACTTGAGTTCACCAGGCATTTTGCATACCAAGCAGCGTGCATGTGAAATCTCCCCCGACGCCCCCCAGTTCGTATCTGTTCCTAGCTGGCCAGCCCTTCTATCACCAACTTAATTCTCCCCTGTATGCTTTTGAGGTTAGTTTGTTCATACTTAGCTTGAGGACCAAATTGCCGGCGTCTGAGAAATGAGGAACTTCATTGAGGAGTCTTTGCTTCGTGTCACCGCATGGTCCGACTCTATAATCTAGCGCTGAAGTCAATGAAACATCTCAATCTTAAGTCTATATTTCCCAGGAACATTGACCCAGAAATGAGAAACACAATATGGAATGTTTGCTAATGAGTCATGAATTTCATTATAATTGCTTCCACATTCCGGATAGCGCCCTTAAACCATCTAATCTTGACACATCCTGCAACAATCCCGTGTGTTGTAAATGATTTTGTTTTATTCCTTAGGTTACTGTTAAGGGGTTATTTTATGCTTCATTTCATCTTCTTAAGAAAACCACACACGTGTGTATGCACACTCACACTCTGATGTGTGCGTACGCGCGCGTGCACACACACACACACACACACCATTGAGACTTTTGCTCTGATCTGTATTTTTTGAAATAAAATAATTATGAAACCAATAGAAGCCTTCTTCTTCTGGTTCAGAAATAAAAATAAACACATTTAGGAAGAGGGTTGAAATCTGGCCTGTTTTGGAGTTCTAACTCAGGTCTCTGAGAATGAAAGCCAGAATTGAGCAATGCCCAGGCCAGCCTCTGGACTTAAGAATCTATGACTGGGTGGATGGACGCAACTAGCATTCAGTACAGTAATAATGGAAAATTAAATACGACTTTTAAAAACTGCTCACATTATAAAGTGACCTATTAGCATTATACGACTTTAGCACTTGAAGTGACTGATTCTACTTGTACAGTTTGGCCCATGGCAAGCATTAAAGAGCTACAGAATCTTGGGGGTATTTTTATTTTTTGTTTTCAATCTCTTTTGGGTTACTTTAAAGTGGATTTTCTTTAGAATAAAGCTTTGTTCCTGCCGCAGAAAAGGACGTGCGGAAGAAATCGCTCTGTTTTGGTGGAACTAGAGGTAACTGTGTTTTTGTTTTTTTCCCCTTTGCTTCATGAATCAATAAGGCAAACATTAAAAACATTTTTGCATTTTTTCTCCTTTTTTGTTTTTTATTAAGTGAAACTGTCTTCACAGCTTGTGGATATTATCCTGGAGAAGTAAAGATGGAATGGCCTTCTCAGATGAGCTTTTATAGCAATCAGACAGGCATTCTTTTCCTGCACCTGGTTGGCATCCTGTATCCTGCTGAATCTTTTCTGTGCAAGCCCATGGGTCACTAAGATGTGGCTGCCATGTCATACCTTGAGCTGAACTTAATTTAAGCATTTTATTGCAAAACAGGGGGACTTCTGAGCAGCTCTGTGTCTTAAATATACCTACTAAATGAGTTGCAGGTTTCCGAAAAGGAAGGATGAGTATGCAGGAATGTCATTCATCTTCGAATTCAACTTTATGATACATACACGCTTTTTCCTAACTCTCATGGTATGGACTACAGGAAGCTTATTAACGGGATAGTATTAAAAATAGCAGCTCTTGATGTGGAGGGAGTCCTTTGTGAACTTCCATGTTTAAGCCAAACTGAATGTTCATCCTAATCTCCATACACATGAATTTCCTGTGGGTGTTTTTCAGATCACTTAATTGTAGAAAAATGGCCTACTATGAGGAGTTCTGAGACAATGACCCACGTTGTTATCCACGTAACCAATG